TATAAGACAAATTACTGTTTTTATATATTTAGTAAACAATATTCTCTTAGAAGTATATTTTTAATTGTCCATAAATATGTTAGATTTATTTTTCGATATTATCAGGAAATTAATTATTTCATAAATAAAAGCGTGTTGGAGATAATACTATTTTTATAAGACAAATTACTTTTTTTATATGTTTAGTAAACAATATCCTCCTAGAAGTATATTGTCCATAAATATGTTAGAGGAACACGATTTATTTCTCGATATTATCAGGAAATTAATTATTTCATAAATAAAAGCGTGTTGGAGATAATACTGTTTTTATAAAACAAATTACTTTTTTTATATGTTTAGTAAACAATATCCTCCTAGAAGTATATTGTCCATAAATATGTTAGAGGAACACGATTTATTTCTCGATATTATCAGGAAATTAATTATTTCATAAATAAAAGCGTGTTGGAGATAATACTATTTTTATAAGACAAATTACTTTTTTTATATGTTTAGTAAACAATATCCTCCTAGAAGTATATTGTCCATAAATATGTTAGAGGAACACGATTTATTTCTCGATATTATCAGGAAATTAATTATTTCATAAATAAAAGCGTGTTGGAGATAATACTGTTTTTATAAAACAAATTACTTTTTTTATATGTTTAGTAAACAATATTCTCTTAGAAGTATATTTTTAATTGTCCATAAATATGCTAGAGGAACACGATTTATTTTTCGATATTATTTAAACGTTATATTTAGAAGAAGATCGTAATTTGTTTTGTTCTTTAAATACATCAATAGGAAATTTAAACGTGCAAAGATACTCGGAATGAAAAATGGTAATTTTTTTAAAATAATCACTTTTATTCGAAGTAATTTGACTTGGCTGGAATATGAAGGCGTCTTGTCGAGAATGTTGCAATTCGCACTTTTAAGCGAAGAAATTATTTTTCTTTCAACGTGATGGATCCTAATGTTTATGATATATAACTGATAAATACATTAGTAGAAAGATTAAAAATTCCCTTTTAGAATTCAGCACAAACCGTATCAAGCGTGGTACGTGTAACGCTTTAATACAAAGAAAGCAATCATTTTCATCAAAGCATTGTACCATCAAAGCGAAGTAAAATTCCTACGATTTGTATGGTACAGACAGAGATCGTATGACGTATTTATATAATAGCGATATTCATCAGTTATATATGCATAAGCATGACATATTCTAATTACAGATAGCTTAATTACACGTTCGAGCAGAATTTCTTCGAGCAATTATACTTGTTTACACGTTAATTGCTACCTTTTCGTATATTACACCAATAGCTATATAATCTGCATCCATTTCATTGATTTAATAGACTTTCGTAAGCGTGTTCTTGCTAATGATATTTCGTAAAAACTGTTACGTTTTTATATTATCTCGTTGCTCCATGTAAATTCGATTTACTATGCTGCAGATCACCATCACTTCCCTATCAATGTCACGATAGAATGTCGATCGAGGAATATTAATAAGCAAATCAGCCAAGCAATCGAATTAATTAAAGGGACACCAACTTTAGAAACTCTTAACGTCAACTCTTAAAACATCAACGTTGATTTAAACACCTGAAACTTTCAAGATATGCCATTTCTTCTAAATAAACGCTACGATCTTTGTAAGTCTGATATGCTTCCACGTTTCTGATTTTCTGTTAAATAAACGAAGATCCAGTTGCGATATCAGCTGTTTCACAGAACCAAAGAAATCACAGACTTAACAAACATATGACGACGCATCGTGATACTGAGATACATAGTTAAGTATGTAATTTCACATCAAGTACAACGTGATATTTAAACATGTTATAGTTTAATTTTAACGATATATAGCAAATTATATGATAACTGATAGTACAAATATATTGTAATATAGTAATGCAAGACTTGTTATATAAGTTATCGAAATTACACTGGAGACACTGCAACGTAGATATGGGAAACATGCTAAAAAAGAAGCAAACGAAATCCTACTAAACGTGTACTTGTGTAAACAAAGACTGTACTAGGCCTTAAGCCTCGCTACAATAAATAACAGACACGCATGCAAGTTATATAAAAATTTATCAAACACTCGAAGTTATTTACATTGCCAATTCAAAGAAATTCCTCGGGCAATGTCACGTTGTTATTAAATTCTAGTCTCATTTCTCTATTTTATCCAGAAAAAGAAAAAACAGAAAACAAACGAGAGATCTAATCAATCATTCGAGTTGACGATTTATGTTCGACCATAGAGCATACGAGTGACAAAGAAGGTCGTTAAAAAGCTGCATAGAAAATCGCGAATCGATGACGATGCGCGATCTGTCGAGGCGGTGCTCGTTCTGGTTGGATCATCGATCGTAGATCCGCGAACGCGATAGATGACGACCAGAATCCAACCGACAGACATAGAGCATTACATCGACGAATGATAAACGCGTTATATTCATGAGAGGCCATTGTATAAAGCGTACAGACACATGTACTCGCGTTTTTTCCTTCGATTGTCTTTCGTCGTTTCCTTTTTTCTCTCTTTTTCTTTTTTTTTCTTTTTTTTTTAACATTCGTCCGTACAACGTGATTCGCTTCTTTCTTCGCATACGGAACGATTTGATCGGCATTTGAATGGATCGGAAATCGCCCGTGACACGATTGTTCTATTCAGATAAACTGTGATACCGTGCGGTATACGGACTAGTCAATAAGAGAAAATTGAAAGCGGAAAACGGAAGACGAAAGTGAAGATAGATCTTTGCCTTGGAAAAGTCGATCTTTCTTGGGAAATAAAGTTTCGCGCGAGAAAATGTCTGTCTCGTAGTTGTTTGGCATCGATGAAGCTTCCATCAAGAAGATTCCCTCTATTTGCAGCTTATTTTGTATAAAACAGTGGATTTGTTAAGAATTTCTTAGGAATGTTATCGATCTTTCCGATCTCTCGATAAGTTCGATCGTTTTCTTAAAATCTTGCAAATCAAATTTGCAAAAGCTATAGCGTTTATTTAGGAGAAAGACGTATTTTGCTGATTTTAAATATTGAATTTCAAGCGTATAAATCCAGCTGAGAAGGTGTCCCTATTTTTATTAACAAGGTTTTAAATATTCCTGCCACGTTAATTTATTATTCACGACTATACTGACAGAAAGATTAGAAGTTAATGGTGACTTATAGGTTGGTTATAAATACGAAGAGTTTATAATTCTATTTCAATCTGCTCTATTTATTGTTATTTAAAGTAGGTTACCAATTATACGGAGTCGTAAGTGGGAATTCCTAGCTTCGTCTAATAAATCAACAGTTCGAGTATACTAAAACGAATCGCCTATAACAGAACTTTCATTCTTAGAACAAAGCTTCGAGGAATTGCAATGAATCTCGAATTCGTCTTTAATGCACCACGATCCTATTTCTGCGATAACCTCGGGAAGTCGAATAATTCGCATAACTCGAATAAAGATGAACAAAGAATCCAAGTGTAACAAAGAAAATTGATCGATCGATTAAACTTGCGATTTATCGTCAATAAGGATGTCATTCATGTCATAAAATGACGTCGTAAAATATAATTATATTGCGTCGTAAACCATACACGTACCCGCACACCGATAACCGTAATCTGATCACTGATAATCAGCAAACATTAAATAACTAACTATTAGATATAAAAAAAAAAAAAATACAACAATTACAACCGATCTATCACGGTATATAATTTTTTAAAAAAATAATATGACGATTAAATAAACGAAAAGGAAACGTAAAGTTTATTAAAAGAATATATAGAATAAAAAATATGAAAAGAGAAATTTAATTTATACGAAAAGAAATTTCGAATTCTACTGCGAGGTCACGTTTGTTGGTTTGAATACCACGTAATTCAGTAGCGGATAGCCAAACACGTGATTCGTGTTTGTACACTGCACGTACACGCGTTCCAACCGATCAATCAACAACGTCAGGGATCATTCCATCCGATCTATAAATCGTTAGCCGAGTGACGCACGAATTTTCGTCCCATACCGGCGCATTTCGATCGAGAAATTGCTGCCTGACTGGCCGGAAATGCGCACTCGCCGCCGGAAACGCACTTTTCGCGCGTCCATCTCTCTCCTTTAACAGCCTGTTCAAACATTCTCGACAATCACGCTCGCTTCTTTTCATCGTTAAACCTTGGAATTTAAGCTTTTTCAAAAGCAAAAGTTCATTACTGGTCAGCTTGAGTCTGCTTATTATTTTCGGTTAGTCATTAAAAATATTACGAAGTGATACAGTTGCCAAGATCGATGACAGCCGATCAATTGTAATCTGATCTATCGATGACTACTTGTCATCGATCTTGGCAACTGTGTTCCTTTCTAACGTTTCTTTCTTTGTAAATTAGACGTTATCAGACATCGACTGAATCTTCTTCTAAAAATGAGAGATCAACACTCTTCGTAGTCAGAGAAGCTCGTACACCATTTCTAAAATTGTAATTAGATCGTTCTATTATTAGCTATCGTCGACTGAAAGCTCCGATCGTCAACCTTCCTCTTCGCAAGAACCGAACCTCTCAATCTTAACAGACGCCCTGCCAAATATCGTCCATCCCGCGTACCACGTTTCCATAAATCGCAAGTATATAAACTCGAATAAATTGGAAACTACATCGGTCGAAAATTCTTCTCTATTCTGGCGAATGAAACAAATAAACAAAGCGACCAACCTAACCCTACCATCTGATCGATAACTATCCGCCCACGATTACAATCTCAAGCTAACCTATAAACAACGTCTCAACGCTGCAACAACGTTACGAATCTTCTTACAAAGACTCGTTTCACGACATCCAAGCAAAACATCTCCCCTCCACCGCCCTAAAACTCCACGATCAAACAGAATTTTCGGTAGCTGCGCAATTTGCTCGGCAGTTTTCGCGAGAATCGGAATTTTTCCGCGAAACCGCGTCTCGTCAGGAACGTCTCATCTGAAAGCTGCTACTCACCAGTCGCGACTCCTTTCCAAGAAAAACCGTTCCCTATTCGCGGACGCCTCTCTCGTCCCCCTCGCCGAGCTTCTGGCGTTTCTGGCTTTTCTCAAGGTGCACGCGCTCGCGCGCACGCTCCAACACGATCCAGAGATCCTGCAGCAGTGTGTCGGTCGATCCTGGATCGCGTGGCCGCTGTCAGGAAATTCGCACTCTCGCGGAGGAAGCTGATTCACCGCGCGCGCATTCCTCTTGTTATTTCAGGCGAGTCGAGTTATAAATCCTCCTCCTCTTCTTTCCACGACGGTTCCATCTTCATCCGCGATCACCCCGCTTTTCCAACTTGTTCCCAACTTGTTTCGATCCGCGAAAACCGTACGCACGATTTAAGCAGGGGACGAAAAGATCTGACACTTTTTCTCGTTGTTGTTGGTGTGCTGTTTCTTTCTTTTCTTTTTTTGTTGCGCCAAGGGGATGTTCGTCGGTGTGTTGTGTGTTTGGTCAGACGTTTGTTTGAAAACACTAGCGCGCTTGGTAAACACCTGTTCTCTAGGTTCACATGCGCACTGATCACCCCGAGAGATGCACTTCCGGTCAACTTTCCGCGGCAATCCTTTCAAACTTTGGTCCGTCACTGATTTGCCGAAGACAGGAGAATCTTCTTGTTTCGAACGTTTGGTAGCTTACCTTGCGAAGGTTCCGCTTCGTTAGGCCCTTCGGCAACCTCTATGGCGGCGATTTTGAAAATTTTTAAGATTTCAAAGTTCTATGGAACCTTCGTTAATTTCACTAGCTTGGGATATTTCGAGGTTACAAGTTTGTTTGCACTCTTTCGATGACGATTCGTTTATTTTTCAATTTTCCAAGGTTTTCCTCTGAATTTTCGCAATTTTCTAGGATTTTTCCACGATCATACTGCCACGATTTTCCAGAACTACTGCACGAAACTTACAGTCGTGTCGATCGACTGTTCACTGACTATCAACTGTCCACCACAATCTAGCAAAACCAAAGCAACGTTAAGATCCTTAAATCGTCAAAGTAAATTTCAATCGTAATTCTTCAAAATTACAACTGTCCACTACTTGTCGTAGCAACTAATCACTGAACATCAGTAACCAAAGAGAAAGAAACTTGGAAATAATCGATTGTCCTGATATTCGTAATCCTTTGGAAATGTCGATGATCGGGATCGACTGTCGACTTAGAATCGACTGTCCACTGAGTGAGTAACTTGACTGTGGCTGGCGTCGCGGCGACACTGACACGAGAACGCGTTCCGAGGCGAGAGGATGCGCTCGAGGAAAGCTCGGGGCGAAGTGCCAGAAGAGTCGTCGCTTGAAATAACCGCTCGTCCACGAGCTCTCCCTCCGCCAACCCCCGTGGCCGCTCTCATAGTTCCTCTCCCCACTCTCTGGATTCAGAGGCTAGCTGCACCGGCTAAACTCTCTCGTCACACAGCCCCACTATGCTTTTTCCTTCTTTCTTCGTCCGTTTTGCCTACGTTCCGTTTCTTCCTTGCATATTCACGTATGTGCACTGTCGTCCGGTAACGGGCATTTGAATCTCAGTTTCGAAACGATTCCAAAGATTCTGTTTCTCGAGACTATCAAAATGTCAAAATTCGAAACACTTCGAATGACGTTCGATAGACCAAAACCGCTGAAAGTCTGGAAAGTCTTGGAAATCTTGCAAGTTTTCGAGCGCCGAAACTTTAGATTCGCGGAGTAGCCTTCGATACCTTAAGACTCTTGGAAATCTTGAAAGTCTTGAAAGTCTTGAAAGTCTTGGAAGTCTCGGAGGTGTTTGACTTTCGATACTTAGGATTTACGAAATAGAATTCGATGCCCTAAAACTCTTGAATGTTTTGAAAGTCTCGGAAATCTTGGACTTTCAAGTATTTAAGTTTACGGAATAGGGTTCGATACTGTGAAAGTGTTGAAAGTCTTGAAAGCGCTGGATATTCTTGAAAGTCTTGGAATTCTTGCAAGTCTTGGAATTACTGCAAGTCCTGTAAATCTTGGAAGTCTTGGATTTTTGGAACTTTAAATTCGCGAAATAGAATTCGATATCTTAATGCTCTTGAAAGTCTTGAAAGTCTTGGAATTCCTGCTAGTCCTATAAATCTTGGAGGTCTTGAATTTTCGAGACTTTAAATTCGCAAAATAGGATTCTACATCTTAAAGCTCTTGAAAGTCTTGAAAGTCTTACAAATCTTGGAAATCTTGGAATTCTTGCAAGTCTCGGAGATCTTGCAAATCTTGAACTTTCAAGACTTCAAGTTTACAGAATAGGATTCGATACTTTGAAAGTTTCGAAAGTCTTGAAAGTCTTGGAATTCTTGAAAGTCTTGCAAATCTTGCAAGTCTCGAGCTATCAACGCTTTCAAGACTTTTAGAGTATCGAATACCTACGATCATCGTGTTCGCTATTAAACGTCGTAAACGTAATTGCTTTCTATGACGATGAACAAGCAACGAGCGACGGTGAAGACAACCGGTAGCCAGAGAAGATCAATGTCAGCCGTTTGGAAATTAAAATATTCTACTCTCTGGAATCAAATGAAACGTGCTACTTTTCGTTGCAACGTTTCAAACAAGCTACTGCTCGCGGCAATGTGAATCGCGTTTGCTATCGTGATTTATTCGAAACGCGCTTGTTATCGGCAGAAACATTGAAACGTGCTTCTTTTCGCGATAGACCGAAGCGCGCTATTCTTCGTAAGACAAATGGAATACATCGCTTTTCGTAACACACGTCGATATATTCCGAACGTAAAGGCAAGTAGACCTTTCCAACGATAACGTATCCGCGATAGATTGCAGCGTCTTGCCTTTCTTCCATGACAAATTACTAACGAACGTCCATTAATATACATATTTCTTCCGGTTTCCGTCATATTGAAGTGCACCTCGTATTTTCTCAATGGCGACGATAAGAATGATTTACTTTATGCTTTCACCGTATAGCGCATAATTAGCCTGCGTGAAAATTCCGATAGAACTGATTACGACATACGGCGTCAAGTAATTTTCCAAAACTACTTCGCGCTTTCCTAACGAACGAATTAAAATAATCACGCTTTATTCGATATTTTTCTCTTCAAGTTATCGGAGAACAGAGTCCCTCTTTAATGCTTAATAATTAACAGAACCGTGCATGGCAAAAGCTCTCAAACTTTTGTTTCTTTGCTCGTTGTAAAATCATAATAAAGATAAGTTCTCAAGACTTTTCGTACGAGCAAAAATCTCGCGAGTCTTGAAATTTCAACGCTTTCGTGAATCCTACACCGCCGAATTCTATTTGCAGTGATTCGAATTCTTCGTCACGCGCATGTCTTCGTTGCGATTCGAAACTTTCGACGATCCCCTCACAGATTTCTGTCGATTTTAACGAACAATTCTAATTAACGTTCGACGATATTATTCGAAATGGGACTGGTGGTCGAGCGGGATGAGATTTGTCGAGTATCGTCGGACAAAATAGCACGCGTCAAGTGTAAAATTTCAGCTGTGTATTTGCAAGATACAGGTCTCTGCGTGTACTAGATCGTCGCGCGTTAGTCTTCTCTCTAGCCAAGCTTGATGTCGTTGTTGCATGTTCTCCTTCTTTTACTTCTTCTTCTTCTTCTTCTTCTTCTTCTTGCTGCAGGATGATTCTTCTGATTCCTCGTTTGCTTCTATTTCTTCTTCTTCTTGGCTGAGAATGGTACGTGGTCGCGCGTGCACGTGCGTCAGGGAGTTTTCGCGCCATTGAGCGAGATACCGAGGCAGAGAGTGGAATTTACTGCGGTTCTAACAGGGAAATGAAAACGGAGACGAAGATGAGACTGAGAATGAGAGGGTTGGAGGACTTTAATGCTGGTAGTTTCATTTTATGTCATCCTCGCTTTATTTCGTCCAATCGAAATGTCAATTTTATCTTCTTTCTGAAACTAAAACACTAAAAGTCCAGTTAAATCTGTTCCATTTTAATGCCCGATCCTTTCCATTTTCTATCTTTCGTCTGCTTTAATCACTAGTTCCTTACTTTCTATTCCAATCTCGTGCCATTTCCAATTCACGCGGTGGATTAAAAATGTCGAACTTTATCATCTTCCTCAAATTACTTCGTCCACTTTCCAACCAATATAAATCTCACTGAAACTGTAGTTAAATCTGTTTCGTTTTAACGTATGATTCCTTTGACACTATGCTTTATCTGCTTTAATCATTCGTTTTTTCCTTTCTTTTCTAATCTGGTGCCATTTCCAATTCACGCGGTGGATTAAAAATGCCGAAAATTATCATCTTCTTTAAATTACCTTGTCCACTTTTTAACCAAAATAAATGTCACTAAAAGTATGGTTAAATCTGTTTCGTTTTAACGTATCATTCCTTTGACACTTTATGCTTCATCTGCCTTAATCATTCGTTCTTTCCTTTCTTTTCTAATCTGGTGCCATTTCCAATTCACGCGGTGGATTAAAAATGCCGAACATTATCATCTTCTTCCTTAAATTACTTCGTCCACTTTCTAACTAGTACAAATCTCACTAAAACTGTAGTTAAATCTGTTTCCTTTTTAACGTATGATTCCTTTGACACTATGCTTCATCTGCTTTAATCATTCGTTCTTTCCTTTCTTTTCTAATCTCGTGCCATTTCCAATTTACACGGTGGATTAAAAATGTCGAACTTTATCATCTTCTTTAAATTACCTTGTCCACTTCCTAACCAATAGAAACCCCACTAAAAGTACGATTAAACGTGTTTCGTTTCAACGAATGATTACTTTGACACTTTATACTTCATCTGCTTTAATCAATAGTTCATTTCTTCCTATTCCAATCTCGTACTATCTCCAATTCACGCGGTGGATTAAAAATGCCGAATCTTATCATCTTCTTCCTTAAATTACTTCATCCACTTTCTAATTAATACAAATCTCACTGAAACTGTAGTTAAATCTATTTCATTTTAATATATATATATGTATATATAATATGATTCGTTTGACACTTTATCCTTCATCCGCTTTAATCAGTAGTTCGTTTCTTTCTATTCCAATCTCGTACCATTTCTAATATACTTTTAGCAGGTTCAAAATATCGAGCTTTATCTTCTTCCTCGAATTAATCCGTCTGCTTTCTAATTACACCTCGATAAAATCGTAGAAACTCATAACTGCAAATATTACTACGTCAAATCTGTCAACGTTTTTATATTTACCGATACGCGTTATAAGCCACGAACTTCCTCTTTGAAATCATCGTTAGTTAAGCGGTAGCTACGATTATACTGATCACCGTTGAATTAGGATTGCAGGTTCGCAAACACGGTGGTTATTCAATCTATGCTAGTAGATTGCCGTATCTATCGATGATGATTGCTGGAAAACAACGATCCGCTGTCGGCACGGTTGCTGGCTACGGGTAATAACGGCGATATAATTGATCGATCGAACGACGTTTCAAATAGACGCTACTGGCGACTAAGTAATTCCGCATCCGTTCGATCGATCAAGCCATGTTTGTCCGGTTGTTTTGTATGTGAAGATTCTCTCCTTGTAAAATAACATTTCACGCTACGTATGATTTACAGAAACGAATATGCGTAATATTGATCGACGAGTAATTGTTCTTTTTTTTATTATTTATTTTATTAATTTATTCTATTAATTATTCTCGTTTATTATTAGTCGATTTTTTCTTTGTTTTCGATCGATGTTGTTTTATGCTTAGACGGCTGTGATTCTCTTTGTAATTGATCGATAAAAGCGTTAATGGAGGGTCGTAAAGTCTTTCTATTTCGATCATAACTTTTAATAATTTCGATCAGTATATCTAATGTTTTTTAATTCGCTTTCGTCGTGAAATATCCGCTTTGTCTTTTGGAAATTCTGCGAAATATTTTGCAGAAATTGAAATACATTCCGCATCCGATAAAGCCATGTTTGTCCGGTTGTTTTGTACGTGAAGATTCTCTCCTTGTAAAATAACATTTCACGCTACGTATGATTTACAGAAACGAATATGCGTAATATTGATCGACGAGTAATTGTTCTTTTTTTTATTATTTATTTTATTAATTTATTCTATTAATTATTCTCGTTTATTATTAGTCGATTTTTTCTTTGTTTTCGATCGATGTTGTTTTATGCTTAGACGGCTGTGATTCTCTTTGCAATTGATCGATAAAAGCGTTAATGGAGGGTCGCAAAGTCTTTCTATTTCGATCATAGCTTTTAATAATTTGTTTTCGTCGTGAAATATCAGTTTCGTCTTTTGGAAATTCTGCGAGATATTTTACAGAGATTGAAACACATTCCGCGTTACGTTCACTTTGTTT